AATTACAGGTGTTGAGATATTAGAAGAGGGGAGGGGGGGGAATGGTAAATTGATAAGCCTCTGACATCTGTGTCTTCACTGCATCCAGCTGAAATTCCAGGACATCAGAGGTTCCAGCAGGTCTGCTCACTTGCTTGATGAGTAGATACACCAAGGCTGTGTATTCTGCAGTATACAATTCTCAAAACAAATTTTAGTATCAAGATAACTTTTTGTTTGAAATCTAGAATCTGATCTTCTGGCGGCCTGCCTCTGTTATGTCTTAATCCATGTAATTCTGGGAGTTTTTATGAGGGTGTGCTCCTACCATCCTCCCATTCCCGCCTCCCTGCTCTCAAATTTCCCAACACTAGGGAATCCAATCTTTGAGGCACCAAGGGCCTCCAATTCCACTGATGCCTGACAAGGCCACCCTCAACTACCTATACAGGTGGAGCCATGAGTCCCTCCCTTTGCAGTCTTGGGCTCAAGGTTTTAGAATGGATACTCCAGCTTGTTTCTTGGGACTATTTGCTTGAAAAATTGTTTTCCAGCCTTTTACTCTTTGTCACTGAGGTGGGTTTCCTATATGCAGCAAAATGCTGGGTCCTGTTTACATATCAAGTCCATTAGCCTATGTCTTTTTATTGGGGAATTGAGTCCATTAGTGTTAAGAGATATTAAGGAACAGTGATTGTTTCTTCCTGTTATTTTTGTTATTAGAAGTGGAATTATCTTTGTGTGGCTATCTTCTTTTGGATTTGTTGGAAGAGGATTACTTTCTTGCTATGTCCAGGCTATAATTTCCCTCCTTGCATTGGAGCTTTCCTGCTAATCTCCTTTGTAATGACGGGTTTGTGGAAAGACATTGTGTAAATTTTGTTTTGTCATGAAATATCTTGGTTTCTCCATCTACGGTAATTTAGAGTTTTGCTGGGTATAGTAGCCTGGGCTGGCATTTGTGTTCTCTTATGGTCTGTATGATGTCAGTCCAGGATCTTCTGGCTTTTATAGTCTCTGTTAAGAAGTCTGGTGTAATTCTTATAGGTCTGCCTTTATGTTACTTGGCCTTTTTCCCTTACTGTTTTTAATATTCTTTCTTTGTTTTGTGCATTTGATGTTTTGATTATTATGTGACTGGATGTATTTCTTTTCTGGTCTAGTCTATTTGGCATTCTGTAGGCTTCTTGTATGTTTATGGGCTTCTCATTCTTCAGGTTAGGGAAGTTTTCTTCTATAATTTTGTTGAAGATATTTATTGGCCCTTTAAGTTGGGAATCTTCACTCTCATCTATACCTATTATCCTTAGGTTTGGTCTTCTCATTGTGTCCTGGATTTCCTGGATGTTTTGTGTTAAGAACTTTTTGCATTTTGCGTTTTCACTGACAGCTGTGTCAATAGTTTATATGGTACCTTCTGCACCTGAGATTCTCACTTCTATCTCCTGTATTCTGTTGGTGATGCTTACATCTATGGCTCCTGATTTTTTCCCTAGATTTTCTATCTCCAATGTAGTCTTCCTTTGTGATTTATTTATTGTTTCTACTTCCACTTTTATGTCCTGGATGGATTTGTTCAATTCCTTTACCTGTTTGGTTGTGTTGTCTTGTAATTCTTTAAGGGATTTTCTGTGTTTCCTCTTTAAGGGCTTCTACCTGTTTACTTGTGTTATCCTCAAATTCTTTGAGAGTATTATTTATTTCCTTCTTAAAGTCTTCTATCATCATCATTAGAAGTTATTCTAAATCTAAATCTTGTTTTCCTGGTGATATGGGGAATTCAGCACTTTCTAGTGTGGGAGAACTAGATTCTAATGATGCCAAGTACCCTGGGTTGTTGATGCTTATGTTCTTGTGCTTGTCTTTTGCCATCTGGATCACCTTAGTGCTACCTGCCCTGTCATTGACTGGAGCCTGTCTTTCCTATTATCTTGGTTGTTTCAGAACTGTGTGAGGTGGGTGTTACTACTAGGGTTAGAGCTGGGGCCCAAGATCTACTCAGTGCCCAGGCTCAGACCGGAAGAAACCAGTGCTCTGGGCCAGAAGTGAATTCTTGAGTCCTAGTGGGTCCCAGTTACTCCCTGTCTGGGGGCCGAGGGTGTGTTGTTGTCTCCTTACCTAAGATACTTCCCGGGTTAGAGCTCCTGGAAAGCCTACTTTCTCTGAGTTTTGTGAGACTGGGTGCAGAACAGCAGCCCGGGATCTGCTCAGTGCTCAGGCCCAGACTGGAAGTGATCCATTTTTATCTCCTTGTACAAAGTTCAAGCCCAAGTGGATCAAGGACCTCCAGAAAAAAGCCAGATACACTAAAACTAATAGAAGAGAAGATGAGGAAGAACCTTTAATACTTGGGCACAGGGGAAACGTTCCTAAACAGAACACCAATGGCTTATTCTCTAAATTCAAGAATTGACAAATGGGACCTCATAAAATTGCAAAGCTTCTGTAAGGCAAAGGAAATTGTCTTTAGGACAAAAAGGCAACCAACTGATTGAGAAAAGATCCTTACAATCCTACATCTGATAGAGGGCTAATATCTAACGTATACAAAGAACTCAAGAAACTAGACTCCAGACAATCAAATAACCATATTAAAAATGGGGTACAGGGCTAAACAAAGAATTTTCAGTTGAGGAAACTCAAATGGTCGAAAAGCACCTAAAGAAATGTTCAACATCCTTAGTTATCAGGGAAATGCAAATCAAAACAACCCTGTGATTCCATCTGATAACAGTCAGAACGGCTAAGACCAAAAACTCAGGTGATAGCAGATGCTGGCGAGGATGTGAAGAAAGAGAAATTCTCCTCTAGTGTTGGTGGGATTGTAAACTGGTACAACCACTCTGGAAATCAGTCTGGCATTTCCTCAGATAATTGGACATAGTATTACCTGAGGAACAAGCTTTACCAATCCTGGGCATATACCCAAAAGATACTCCAACATATAACACATGTTCCACTATGTTCATATCAACCTTATTTATAATAGCCAGAAGCTGGAACCCAGATGTCCTTTAACAGAGGAATGGATACAAAAAATATGTTGTACATTTATACAATGAAGTACTACTCAGCTATTAAAAACAATGAATTCATGAAATTCTTAGGCAAATGGATAGAACTAGAAAATAATCATCCTGAGTAAGGTAACCCAATCAAAAAAAAAAAAACCCACATGGTATGCACTCACTGATGAGTGGATATTAGTCCAAAAGCTCACAATAGCTAAGACACAACTCACAGACCACATGAAGCTCAAGAAGAAGAAAGACCAAAATGTGGGTGCTTTGGTCCTTCTTAGAAGGAGTAACAAAATACTCACGGGAGCAAGTAAGGCTATAAAGTGTACAGCAGAGACTGGAGGAGGGACTGTCTGGAGACTGCCCTCCCTGGGGACCCAGCCCATGAGCAGTCACCATATGATGGCATGGTTGTGAATGCCAGGAAGTGCTGGCTGACAGGAGCTTGAGATACCTGTCTCCTGAGAGGCTCTGCCAGAGGTGGATACTCACAGCTAACCATTGAACTGATGGTTGGGTCCCCAATGGAGGAGTTAGAGAGAAGACTGAAGGGGCTTGTAGCCCTATTAGAGGAGCAACAATACCAACCAACCAGAGCTCCCTGGGTCTAAACTGCCAGCCTGGGAACATGCTTGGAGAAACCCACAGCTCCAGTTGTATATGTAGTGGAGGATGGCCTTGTCAGACATTGGTAGGAGATGAGGTCCTTGGTCCTGTGAAGGCTGGATGCCCCAGTGTGGAAGAATTCGAGGGCAGGGAGTGGGCAGTGGGTGGATGGGTAGGGGCACATCCTCATAGAAGTAGCAGGAGGGGGAACAGGATAAGGGGTTTCTGGGGGGTGGGAAATGTGGAAAGGGGATAACATCTGAAATGTAAATAAATAAAATATCCAATAAATTTTTTAAAAAAGAGTAAAATTTGTCAGCGCTTAGTGAAGCACAGAACAATACAAAGAGTTAAGTTACCCTAGTGCTTATTTAAGCATAAAGAGCTAAATAAAGCGCAGAGAGTTATAAGGAGCTAAATAAAGCACAGAGAAAAGAAGCCAGCAGTTTTAATCTATAGAATAAGCAAGAAAGTTTTCAGGATATTTTTGGGAATTACCAGCAAGCATTCCATATAGTTAGAGAGCTAGAAAGCCAGAGACCATCAGTCTTTACAGCTATTTCCGATGCTGTGTCCCACTTCGACCTAGCAGGCTCCAGCAAGCCAAAGTAGTCTCCTGGGCTCCGTGTTCACATGCACACACATCCTTCATCTTTGTACACAGCTACATGCATACTCCCGTACACACATAACACGTCGCATATCATGTATATGTATGTACACAATTTTTATTTATCAATATTTCAGTAAGGGTGGATGAAATGAAGTTCAAATGTACAGGCATATGAAAATTTGATATAAGACTCATTACGTACTTAATAACTAATGAGTAATAAAAACTGGAAAGTTTAAACTCAGTACTATTATTGAACAATAGAAATTATAGTTAGGAACCAGAATTAAAGCTACAATCAGATATTTAAACTATTTGTGATGAATTTAGAGTAAATTAAAATATTTTCAAAAAACTAAAAAGTCACTATCACTAAGCATCATCTCTTAAGTAATCTAAGCATCAAGGGAACATTTGTTATAAACAGTAAAAAGGAGAGATTAAGAGAATTCCTAAGGAAATATCAATTTATTATATACAATAAACTTAACCCTATACTTCTTGGAAGAAGAAATGTCAAAAGAATGAATAAGTATAATTATATATAACTCACATGAAGAATCTTGCTTTGCTACTTGAACTATTAAACAATTTTTTAAAATCTGTTTTTGGGGAAAATATTATTGGTGCTATACCAGCATGGCACCTTGCAACCATCTGTACCTCCAGATCCAGGGAGTCCCATGACATCTTCTGACCTCTGTGAATATCAGGAAAGCACACATGCATACATGCCAGTCCAAATTTAATACATATGAAGAAAAATAAATAGTTTTTTAAATAACAAAAAACTACCCTTTTTTAAAAATCTGGTGGTATATTTTCTGCATATTTTTCAGAGTAATGATTATTCGGTTATCAGAACTGATTTGTAACAAAGGAGTAATTGTGGGATAGGCATTCATCACAAACTTCTGAAAAGTCAGGATGACTGGGTCATACACCCATAACAGGACTGAGGTGGATGATATGATGAAGTCTACCCAGTACATGACCACAAAGAAAACCACCAGGAGCAAGATGGTCTGGGTGGCCCTTTTCTCAGGGGATGATCTCAAGTGGCTGTTGCTATGAAGATGCTTGCATTGCCTCTGATGTCTGCACAAGATAATCACCATGTATGCACTTGTGGTCAGCATGACTCCTACAAGAAATACGTCTCTGGAGGTTGTCATTGTTAAAATCAATCCCCTGATGATGTAGTTCATGGGGAAGAGTGAGCAGTATTTAGTGACCTTCATCTGGTTGGTCTCACTCACGTTGGTATAAGCACCAACATAGAAGATCCGGTTACTGCTGAAGGACAAATTGAAAGACCAAAAATAGAAGAAAGAATAGATCACATATTTTTTAAGCTTATGTTTAAATTTTGCCAACAAAGATGTACTGGGACTGATAGTGACAGCCTGGAACACACTCAGGAGGCAGGTGATGCAGATAGAGAGGCCTCTCATCACCCTGTTTATGTAAAAAGTTGCCTTGCATTTGAAGTCATTCTCAATGTTCAGTGACTCAAATAAGTCTGTAAGCCAAATATCCCCTCCAGTGAGGAACATCATTGTGTGAACGAAGCTCAGTTGGCAGGAGATCAAGTCCATGGGCTTAGATCTGTTACATAGGATTATGATAGTGTAGAAAAAAAGAAGAAATATATTGGCTAGGGCTCCAAGTCCAGCTTGGCAATAAAGGACATTATTTAATGAAAACATAACTGGAAAGTGTATTCATCTTAAGAACAAAGAGGAAGCATATTTCATATATCTGAAAGAAATATTAGATATATCAAACTTAAGATTCTCTGGTTGGTATGTCTATAACATTATCCCTTTTAACTATTTATTCTTGATTACCCTGGCTCTAACATTTGATCATCCATATTGGACATCATTCCTACATTTCTATGTATCTCTTTGTGTATCTCCTCTCTATATAGACAGTTATAGAAAACGCATGCATTCTCGGTCACATGTATATAGAATGCACACTTTGTGTGCCTGTATTACATCTCAGCCTCGTATCATAGAAATCCAATCCTACTGATTTAAATCACCTCATTTCCTAGGTAACACTTAAAACAATAGTGATAAGCACACAACATAAATAACATTTGTACAAATGAATAAAATTTATGCTGAGATGGGGGAAAATCACAAAGGAAATTGAAAAAGTTAAATCAGTCTCATATTCCATAATTTTGCTATGCCCCATTTTGCAACTCTCCATGTTATGATTAATAATTCTAATGGGACCACAGTGATAATTCATTATAATCCCACTGTTTAATTCAGCAAAATATCTTTCTCAGTTCATCTTCTTTTATGTTTCATTTACCAAGAGATCATATGTCCCTCAGATGTGAAATTGAAGACACTGATACAGTTGGAGACCATTAATGTACATCCACACCACTATTAATTGTTGAACCATTAATGATGGTTACAAACATATCTAGATGTCTCCCTGTTTAGATATCATCCCATTTAAACACTTTGTGAGACTCTAATTCAGGTCTAAAGAACTAACTGCCAGCTCAACACAAGAACCAGATCTCTTTTCTTTTGGAGCAGGGAGGGGAGATAGATTGTTAACACTATGATTCCTGATGGCTTTTCACCCATGGATGTTGTTATTTTACCTATGTACTAACTTCTGCATTATTATCATCCCCCTCTTTTGTAAAGACCCCCCCCCCATTTTCCATTCCCCCACCAGACCAATTATTCTGCTACTCCCCACTACTTTGTTGCCACCTTCTTTTGTATTTCTGTGTCCCTCCTTCCCTAAGGAGGCCAATTTTTCATTTCCCTTCTCAGAGGCCTGTATCCTACAATTCCCCTTTTCCTCTTCCAACTTTCTTCTGTCTCCCCTTTCCTAAGGTGCCCCTCTTCTCCCATTTCCATGATCAGATGACTTCCACACTTATATTGCTTGTTCCCTCTCCATTGTTAACTACCATCCCACCCCTATCCTGACAATGGTCCCATTTTATTTTCCTGATTTCCATAGTTTCTACAGGCTACATAATCTCATCTAAAGATGTGAGCTGAGAGCCTCCAGCAAGAGAGAACATGTGATGCTAAGACAACCACAATTTTCAACACACATGACAGACATGAACTCACCAAAGATGACCAGATAGTGATTCTGTTTTGGAGTATTGTTCTAAAGGACATTCCTTACCATGAGTGAAAGTCAATGTTCCCAGTGTTATCATACATCAACAGCACCCACCCACCTTTTACAGTTTATCTCAACAGTCTTACCTTTAGGGCCTATGTTAGTTATTTGGTCCAGCTACGAGTGCCATTCTTTTGTCAAATGAATTCAGTACTGCTTGTGATAGACAAATAGAAAACTACTGCACATACTCAGATTCTTCTGTATAAAGAATGCCCAATTATACCTTCAAGTTCACTATTATATTCCACATATACAATGTAATGGATGCGTGTGTGTATAGAAATAATGCAGAAGTTAGTGATGAGATCACTCTAACCCTCCCCCCAGGAATATAAAGCCATATGTAATATATTCTGTATTTACATGACTGTTACTTAATCTAATAAAAGAATCAATTAAATCCAATCGCCAGAGCCAAACATAAACTCCACTGACATAAACTTGCAGTATATGCACAGTGATGTTCAGTTTTTTAAAAGTTTCAGGACAGGAACTCAAGAGATAGCTCAGTGTTGAGAGTACTTTTTGCTCTCGTAGAAGACCTGGGTGTGATTTTCCAGCAATGACCTGTTGCCCCATAACTATATATAACTCTCTAGTTCCAGTGCATCCATTGTCTTCTGGTCCAAGCATTCAAGTGGTTCACAGACATACATGCAGTAAAACACCCATACATAAAATAAAATGAAATAAAATAAAATAAAACTCCAGGATAATACTAAATTCTAGTCTTGGTTTCCAAACTGTAAGAACTGTAGGGCAGTTCCAACTTTAAAGTTGCAAATGGTCAAACTATATATGTACAATCATTCATTATTAATTATACATCTACAACTTACAAATATATGACATACATTATAAGCCATATAAAATATAGTAATCTAAAATGATTTTACTTATCCAAAAGTTACCCACTTCAATCTTTCTACTTCATATCCACTGCTTTATAAATGTTTATCACATACAGAAAATGATGCAACTTCTAATTCATCAAGTGGCATCTTTCTCTGGAGCTCACAGCACCATAAATAGACCATAGTTACCATGGCTATGAACTGAGAAGTTAACATACATGCACTGAAACAAGTCATTTATTTTATTTGAAAAAAAAAGCAATGCGAGAATTAATCTAAGTAGTCTGCACATTCTAGGAACACTCTTAGGTGAAACATACAAGCCCTCAAGTTCTAACTATTCTTTGCTCTTTTGTTTTGCTCTCTTCTACAGTTTTCTATTTTTCTATGCCGGTTTGAACTTGTTATATAGCCCAGGATGTTCTCAAATTTATGTTCCTTTTACTTCTGCTTCCTTACAGCTGAAGCTACTGGTGTTCACACCAATCTGAGTTGTTTGATTCATTTTTTAAGTATTTATCAGAATTTTTTATTTGATGACACTGAAAGTTCCATAGATGGAAGAATCACAAGATTTATATTAATAGAAGGCTAACCACAAAGTCATAAAAGAAAAGAAAACATCACAGATAGAGTCCACAAAGTAATACAGTGTCGAGAATTGGACTCACTGTGACACATTGGACACTCACTAACCTTGTGGATTGTAGTAATGTGCAGGTCAGGGCTGCTCAGGCCAATGTGAAAACACTGGAGAAGATTCAGAGCAGACACTGGATGTATAGTTGTCACTGTTTCTGGCTTTCCCATTAGTGTAGGTTGTAAAATTTATTTGTAAGCAATAAAACCCAAAGTGTGCCCATAAACATTGGCAATAGTGGAGAAGCCATCACTATATAATTGACCCAGACCAAAAGATTAAGCAGCCTGAAAGCATCTGTCTGAAGAGACTGCAACAAAGGAGACCAAGAGCTACTTTCTCCGTACCTCTACATTCTTCCAAGATAAACCATTTTACCCCTTCATTATATCAGGACTTGATTTTAGAACAGTCTTGTTTCATCAATTTCTGGTGAACCTTACCTTCTGGTTTGTGGAGATTTAATAATATAAGGAATATACAAATATACTACATCAAAGGTTCATTACCATTTTAAGATTTACCACATTTAGTGAATAATAACCAAAAAGCTGTGCGACTGCTCAGAGAGAACCACAAGTGAGTATGTGACTTTCATGTGACAAGATACAGGGAACTGGCTGATGTATTGTTCACCGTCAGCAACAAGAATAGGTCTTCAGAACTCTCAGGATGAAGGCCTTAGCCACCAAAGCTAGTTCCCTGGAATCTTATGAAATATATAAAGACAGCATGAATAAATCCTGATCACTTATTAATTAGGTATTAATTCATAGCTATTACCTGATCCTCTTAAGTAACTTAAATGCATGGGTTATTCTTTGGAAATTGAGTTTAGTGCAGGTGTAACTGAAAGCACTAGAAGCTGGCGAGAATGTTACAGTCTCACAGCTACAAGCCAGTTCCCCTGGGATGAAGCAGCAGCAGCAGAAATGTCACTGCAGGGACTGTGGGGAAGCAATCATACCCAGAGCTTCATCACAAGTTGCATAGTGTGAGTTTGGGAAAGATATGAAAATATTCACTAGATATTGTGCATGCATCTGTCTGAGTGTGTGTGTGTGTGTGTGTGTGTGTGTGTGTGTGTGTGCGTGTGTGAAATGATTGGACTACTGGGCCGCAGAATAGAGGAACAGCATAATGTATGCCAGCACTGCTAACATGAATAACTGTACATCTCTTGAGTGAAAAACTGAGTTATATAAACTATGTTTGTTAAAAGAAATGATCATTAAGGAAAATACAGAGTGTGTTCAATGTTTTCCAGTTGACTTCATCGGATCTTGGGCCTGCCTAGTGTACTAGTGCAGACTTTTAATGTAAGTTATTCAAAACAAACCAAAAAGTCTGTAATGCTTAAAAACAAATTTGTATCATATAAGTTGTTTTTTGTAGTGTTGATACTCTTTGGCCCGTGACTTATTGACAGTTATTGGCACACTATTTTGTTCCGTTTATTGACAATGATGTGATAACTCTACATTATATGTTTTCTATTTTGATTCTGCTGCATTTTTTGTGTGTGATAGATAGGTTCTCACTCTCTAAGTAATGACGCTCTTGCCTTAGCTTTGAAAGTGCTGGAATCATAGGTGTGTGACACCATACCTACTTTCATTTACTATTTTAATCTCAGGTATATTATATATTATACATTATATATTAGTGAATGATATTCTACCAAAATAAAAATGGACTTCGGATAATCATCAGCTAAACTTAAATTTACTTGGTATTTTTGTGAATGTGTATTTTACCAAGCTATTGTAGTTTGAGGCTATTAAAAGAAGCATTTGTAATTTTGACTTTAAATAATTTTATACTATTTGAGAATTCCAAATATTCTTCTCACTACTAATGAAGAACTTACTCTATTACATCAATATCAATGTTACAAGATTTGATTTAGAAAACTTAAAATACTAAACCTAATTTGTTTTGCTTAAGACACTCAGACTCTTACAGAAATCTCCAAGCTTATATTTTTGTAAGAATAACTTTACAAGGATTTAATAAATAAGATGAGATTTCCAGA